TTTTTCACTTACGCTAATTCTAGCCAATTCCAATTACAGCATAAATAGTTGTATTTTGCAGTTACTGTTTTTTGTTTTATTAATATATATTAATATATATATATATATATATTATTAATAATTAATAAAAATAAATAAATTTATAACATAAAAATAAATTAAAAATATTTTTTACATTTTCATCATACTTATTACATAATTTAAAATTTTATATTACAAATTTATTGAACAAAATTATATTATTAAAGTTTGTGCGTGAGTGTATGTTAGTATACATTAATATATGTATAAATTGTTCCTCTTAATTTATTTTTTTATTTTTAACACATACATATTTAAAAATATAATATAATACTTATTTAAAATTAAGTTATTTAACATTATTAATGTAAACTTGACTTTTAAATAAATTAATAAACTAAGTCAAACTTATAAAAAAATATTTATGATAGAAAATAGACTAAACTTAAATTTTAATTTTGTAAAAAAAAAAGTTCAATCTATAATAAAACATGATTTTTCTTAACCTATTTTCATTTTTACTACTAAAAATCATTGCGAAATTTAAGTTGTGCAAATTATTAAATTTGTTTAAGATTAATATTAAATAATATAAATAATACTTTTTTTTTTCATATAATCATGATATAATTATAAATATAAAATATTTATTAATTTTATCAATAATTAATTTTTATTAAAAAAAAATTATACAGGTCATTTTCTTTAATCTTATTTCTTAAGTAAGTTTCGATATAAAAAAAAATCATTTACAAATTCGTATACAAAACCTATTTCAAGAATATAAATAGGTACACTTTAACCAACATTTTTTAAACATGTTTTATTGTTTTTTTTTAGGTTCGTTCCTGGAGTATTCACTGCCGACAGCAGTGACTAATCTCCTCGCTACGTTGGAGGCACCTCAAATGGTGGGATAGCTGGCCCCAAGATTGGCTGCATACACAAGGCAGGATTCAAACCCCTGATCTTGCTTAAGCGTGGATCAACCCCTACCGCTGAACCACACGCTTGGGGTTACATGTTTTATTGTTTAAATTTATCTAAAAATATATAATCATTTATTGATAAAAAAAGATTATAATGACAAGAATAAATCTATTACTAATTAATTACTTCAAATAATATGATATGATTTTAAAAGTTGCTAGTACAAATTTTTCAAAATTTATGTTTGTTAATTAAAGATAAAAAATTTAATTTTTAACTTATACGTAAAATCATGGTTGAATGTAACATTTTACATCTAAATACGTCAATTCATAATTATTTTAGTTATAAAATAAATTATGGTGCATCATTATGGAATGATTAAATTTTAGTGATGAATTTTTCAGACATAAAATATAAATATTAATTTCATTACTAATTTTAATTTTTGTAACAGTGAGTCTTTCTCTATTTTAATTCCTTTATTAC